GGCAGGGGGGGGGGGGGTGTTACACAATATACCAGTTACAATATACAGCCCCTTCGCAGAAATGACACATCATTGCATTTAAATCCTAAACTTTTGTGACTTGGTCACATGAGTCACAGTGAAATGGCTGTATAGCTAAAATTCCAGGCCAAACATGTTATGTCAAAATACCAATAAAAATGAAACACATTACCAGGCAACGTTATTCAAGAGTGCTTATGGTACTGCCAGGCTTAATAAATGCACTCTCAATTATTCTTTGTTACTGTACCATACCTTATCAGCTGTGTTTAGGTTGTGGTGTATGGCATCTACCCTGTTATGCAACTGTTCCAATCTCAACGCATCTTTCGCAGGCATTTCTAGAGAGCAAAAAGCAATTTATAATAGTGTAGGTACATTGTGTTTTCCTCCTGAAAGTGTAAGAGAGAGAATAAAGGAATAAAGTAAGGTACATTTGGGCACATTGTAGCTTTGTAGCACACACTAATGTACGGTACACACTTGGTTTTTTACATTGTCTCAACCCAGATTGGTGTATACACTTCTCAGTGGGGGTTTGGGATGTGTGGAATTCTAGCCCAATACAGTGAATCAGTGATGCCAAGTTTGAAATGCCTGAAACCGGGAGATTACCGGAGGTTGTTCCCCGGGGATAAATCCCCAGGAATAAGTCCCTAGGCTTATCCCTGGGGATAAGTCTCCAGGGAAAAATCCCCGGGATTAGCCCTTGGATATATATCCCTGGGGATAAGTCTCCAGAGATAAGCCCTCTGGGGATGAGTGCAGGTACTGTTGAGTGTGGTACTGCAAAGCCAATAGATATCTCACAGCAGAATTGTACAAATTTAATCAAATAATTTATGCCTACTATATTAAATTCCGGAGTTAATGTTAGAAATATGTGATTTGCGGAATGACGTTTTACTTCTTGAGTTACTGTTTCTTTGTATTTAAGTGTCAGGGCTCTCCCATTGATGAGTAAAATGTTCTGACTTTATACAGAGTAAAACAATAAAGTATCATTGATGATGCAGTGCAACTCAATGGGTTATAATTATGTTTTAGGGAAGAGAGGCTTGTGTATTATGAACATCGGCAAAAGGCTAAGATGAACCCAGACAAGAATGTGTGCATCATTTTAGACGGGATGGACCAAATGAAGCTTATGCTCCCGCAGCTACTGAGCCAAATGAAAGTTTTCTCCAGTGCATGGAGGTTGAAGACCCACTTAACTGGGGTGATGAATCATGGACGTGAAGTGATTGGCTATTTGGACTTAATGCAATGGCCCCATGATAGTAATTTGACCATAAACATCATTCTTAGAGTGTTGCTGAGAATGGATACCATTCCCGATAGGTTTTACCTTCAAATGGATAACTGTTGGAGGGAAAATAAAAACCAGTATGTTATATTTTTCCTTGTTGTACTGGTGAAACTAAATATATTCAAAAAGGTAATTATGATAGTATAGAAATTTAATTACCGGTACCTTTTTTCTAATCGAGATTTGATTTTGTGTATTTTTAAAATTTGACACTCATTAGCTGCTTATTTGCGGCCTGACCTGGTCTAACACTACATACTGTTTTATCAGTTCAATCGGTGAATCAGTTGTCGGCAGTGCAATGGCTGCCACTCAGTCATCTCCCAAGATAGGCAGTAGCTAAAAGATGTTTGGATTTCTGTCTCCTATCCTGTGAAATTTATTGTTCTCATTAACCTGTTTGGCAGAATAAATTTATGTTCCCAAAAAAAAACCTCGGTTAAGATTGTTTAACTCGGTCGAATGCCACATAATGCTAGGCCGGTTGGCAACCAAGTGTTATACTAGCTATTACACTTTATCAAAAAAATGGTTAACCCATTGAGTCGCATTGCACCCTGATGCACCCTAGTTTAGTATTTTACTCTGTCTAAATGCCAGACGATTTTACTCGTCAAGGGGAGAGCGCTGGCGCTTAATGGGTTAAAGTTGAATATTATTATATGTTTCAGGTGAAGTTAAATTTCTTAATGAAAGGCCACACACACGAGGATGTCGACCAACTCTTCAGTCGGTTTGGGAAGAAACTTTCAACAAACAATGTTGTAACAGTTAAAGGTAAACGAATTACTTGAACAATCTTTCCTTGGTACGGATGCAAAATTTGTGTCGTACAGTGTTTTATTACCCTTTAATGGCACTTTAGACTGTGCCTCAGGCTATAAAGTCCACACAAATATATAAAATGTCTTGTTTAGCATACTATATAATTATAATTATAATTTAAATACTTACTAAAACTTGATATACCATAGCGTAGACCTCGTGTAAACTAGCATTATAGCTAACTGGGGATCTCTCCTCCAACGCCTTGCAGTTGGTGCATGCCTTTGTCCTTTGTTTTGGAAAACAATTCGTACAATTTTAACTTTTTTATCCAGTAAAGCAATAGACCTTATTCATAAATCGTGATCGAGGCCTCGTATCCTAGGAAACGGGGAAAAACGCGGGAGAATTGACAAAATGTTTTTTTGCTGTCGGCTATGGCAGCTTTTTTTCGTCAATATTACGGCTTTTTTCGAAAATAATATCTATAAAACTGAGTTTGAAAGTTGAAAAAAATACTTCTGAGAAAATATAACATGATATTTAAAGCAAAAGATGCTGGAGTCAATCGAAAAAGGAAACCTTTGACTTTGTATTATTGTCGTAGTTTGTATGGCCAAAACAAACAACCAACAAGGCTACAAAACGTCTATACAACACCAAAATCGTAAGAAATATGAAACTATTGTTGAAGAAATAAGATTACAACTCACTCAGGTAATGTAGCCTTCATTTTTTAAACTTGTAAGCTGCTTGCAGAATGTTATCGAGCCACAGCCATAGTTCATATTTTCCCGTACGAATCAATGACATTTGACGTTCTCTTGTGATTTTTGACCTGTTGTTTTCTTTCATATTAATGTCAAATTCGAAAAATTATACTTTCATTCCATAGTTGTCTTGATTTTTCACGGAATAACCTTTATATTGACGTTAAAATCTCAGTAAAATACTGTTTTTCGCTTCTGTATAAACACTGTCGCTACGTTGTCATTTTTTCCACACAAAAACGGGAGAAAAACCGGTCGCTTTTATAATATACTCGTTTACCGCTTTCGTTGTGGGCACAAAGTCTTCAAATACACACAAAAAGCGTTATAAATCGCAAAAAGCAACAAGAAACAAGCCGTTGAAGTCGATATATAGCATCTGAATTTGGCTTGTCAAGCAGTTTTCGCTTGTTTTCCCGCGTTTTTTCCCCGTATCCTAGGATACGAGGCCTCGTCACGATTTATGAATAAGGTCTATACTTATCAATTTAAAAAACTTACACGAAGTTTCTAACTGAAGCCGAGTAAAACCCAGCAGTATGAAAGATTGGGGCGAGTATAAAAATGAAATATGGCGACGAAACGCAAAAAAAAATAAAGTACAGTAATTTATAATTTTGCTTCGAAGTTTAAAGGATTATTTCGGGAACAAAAGAAGAGCTTTCGAAGATTCCGACATTTAAAACACAGAAATGTTTTTATGAGTGAGTGTATAAAACCGTTTCTAACATATTCATATTAAATTTTTGTATACGTTTCTATATATAAAATATTAAGACCCAAATTCATCTCAGCCTGAGTGTATTACTCAGTATAGAATCCTATTGGCTATAATTCTAGTTTATATACCTTAAATTGTGTTAATTTATCACTTTAGATCTTTTGTCTGATTGCCTTTTTAGATTTGCTATCACTTTTCAAGGAGTCTTACACCCCCACTCCAGAGACTGTGTTATTGGATAGCATGTTTAATGTGAGGGAATGGCTAAAAACCATAAATCCAAGCCTGCGCAATATATCCAACCCTCACATTTTTGTTATTGTGAAGAATGGAAAAGGTGATGTTGTGCTACGCTACAAACATTGGAGCAGAGACACAGAATGGAAACCTTCAAAAGATCCAAATAAAGGAATTGTGATGCTTACTGCAGTATGTATTTTGAAATACTGAACTCATGTGGTTTACTAATATCATACGATTATTTTTGCCACTTGCCCCTGTATGGTGGTTAATTAAAACAATAGTATGGCCTGTATGGTTTTTTTTCTGCGTTGGTGTTATGCACTCAGGTGAATATGATGCTTGTGATGTTACTCTGAGCGTATGTTACTCTGAGTGTATATGCCTGATCGAGATTTGGAGTCACCATCGCTCTATAATTAGCAAGCTTAAATCTAGTATGTGGACATGACAAAAAGACAGTTACTTACGCTTTTCCCTGTGTGGATATACACTCATAGTAACATCACAAGCATCATGATGGAGACATTGCTGGAGTACTGGCAAATTGTATTTAAATTAATCAATAAGCCAGTAATTAATTGCCAAATAATTTGCATATATATGATAGCATGACCAGTTGCATATTTCATTATAGGATGTGCTCATTCCTACAGTACCTCCAGACTACGTGCCATCATCACCTGACAATGTTGATATAGAACGCCTTAAACGAGACATTCCAAAGTATATCGACAACTCAAGGGTTGTTACAGATGCTCAAAGATCGTGGTGGGCTGAATTTTTTTCAAATTCTGCTGAAACATATGGTGTTGGACCAGCAAAATCATCAACTTGGCTATTGGATGACCTGCAGCTTATAAAAGAAAGGGGCATTACCAGAGCTGAACATACCGATAACCAACATCCAACAGTACAAGATCAAGAAGTGCCAAATCCATGCAGCGTAGCAGCCCAGATGAATGAGATGGTGCAGGGTCAGCTAGGTGACATTCCTGAGGTATAAATGAGTTCCAATGTTTTATGCTCTGTAAAATTTCTTGATGGCCTGTGTTCTTTTCAAACCTCATCACCAGTAAGAATTTATCCAGGATTCTTTTCAGGGATTTTTTAGGGCCGTTAAACGGCCCAAAAAACCCATCTTGAATTGAGTTTTGAAACTCAATCTTCTCACCAAAGTTTCTGTGCAGTAAAAATGAAGTTTGAGTTAAATTCGTGACGTGTGGAAATTAGTTTTCAGTTGGAAACCCGACAATTAAGAAAAAATGGCTGGAATTCATCTCACAACACAAGAAAAACTATGCATTTGCCATCTTTAACCAGTTTATAGTGTCCCTCAATGCCCCTGTTTTAACACATTCCGTCTCAACTACATTTATTGAGTACAAGTGTCAGCTCCCCGGTAGGGGTGGGAGGGGGGGAGGGGTGCAACCACCACAGCTGTTCAGCTAAACTCAATCTTCTCTCCAAAAATGGACCCAACAGAAAATCCTGGAAAAAACCCTGTTATCATACTAGCATATATCCTGTAGTACCGTAGTAATTTGTGGTATCTATTATAATATATATAGGTTTACACAGGATCTTACGTAAAGCCTTCTGGGATCATTTCAGTGGACAACATTTGGGATCATGTTATAGTTGATGGATTTGTGGCTGTTTCCCTTGAAGGATACAAAAACGTGCCTGTCATTGCAAAAGTAGTGAAAACAGAGACCGAGACAGTAACAATACATTATTGGAAAGGATCTTGGAACAAGAAATGGCAACCTTGGCTTCTCTCAAATGGTGATCCATGGACTGATGTCCTGCCAAAAGATTGTGTATATTTGACAGCATTTGAACTGATTGATGGTAAACTACAGCCTGATACGAAACGACAAATGAGAACCTTCTTGAAGCAAGCTATGAAGGATTAACAAGGTACATATCCATGTTTACAGTTACAAAATTTGTATAGTTTCCCATTCATGCCTAAACATACAATTAGCAATATATTTAAGTTACTGCATGTTCAAATTTATCCTATTTCATATTGGTGTGGACTTATCCAAACCAACTATCTATTTTCAGTGTCTTTTCATGTTGGCGTCGATTTATCCAAACCAACAATTAATATGTTTGCAAAATATTCTTAATTTATCAACCTGTGCAAATGTGGTCTCGACATGTCGGTGACATCTGCTTTGAAAAATGGCCTATTTTCAGTGTCTTTTCATGTTGGCGTCGATTTATCCAAACCAACAATTAATATGTTTGCAAAATATTCTTAATTTATCAACCTGTGCAAATGTGGTCTCGACATGTCGGTGACATCTGCTTTCAAAAATGGCCTATTTTCAGTGTCTTTTCATGTTGGCGTCGATTTATCTAAACCAACAATTAATATGTTTGCAAAATATTCCTAATTTATCAACCTGTGCAAATGTGGTCTCGACATGTCGGTGACATCTGCTTTGAAAAATGGCCTATTTAGTGTCTTTTAATATTGGCGTCGATTTATCCAAACCCACTATTAATATGTTTGCAAAATATTCCTAATTTATCGACCATGTGCAAATGTGGTCTCGACATGTCGGTGACATCTGCTTTCAAAAATGGCCTATTTAGTGTCTTTTAATATTGGCGTCGATTTATCCAAACCCACTATTAATATGTTTGCAAAATATTCCTAATTTATCAACCATGTGGAAATGTGGTCTCGACATGTCGGTGACATCTGCTTTGAAAAATGGCCTATTTTCAGTGTCTTTTAATATTGGCGTCGATTTATCCAAACCCACTATTAATATGTTTGCAAAATATTCCTAATTTATCAACCATGTGCAAATGTGGTCTCGACATGTCGGTGACATCTGCTTTGAAAAATGGCCTATTTAGTGTCTTTTCATGTTGGCGTCGATTTATCCAAACCAACTATTAATATGTTCGCAAAATATTCCTAATTTATCAACCATGTGCAAATGTGGTCTCGACATGTCGGTGACATCTGCTTTGAAAAATGGCCTATTTAGTGTCTTTTCATGTTGGCGTCGATTTATCCAAACCAACTATTAATATGTTTGCAAAATATTCCTAATTTATCAACCATGTGCAAATGTGGTCTGGACATGTCGGTGACATCTGCTTTGAAAAATTAATGTTTTAGTGTCTTTTCATGTTGGTGTCGATTTATCCAAACCAACTATTAACATGTCTGCAAAATATTCCTAATTTATCAACCATGTGCAAATGTGGTCTCGACATGTCGGTGACATCTGCTTTGAAAAACGACCTTTTTAGTGTCTTTTCATGTTGGCGTCGATATATCCAAACCAAATATTAATATGTTTGCAAAATATTCCTAATTTATCAACCAGGTGCAAATGTGGTCTCGACATGACGTTGACATCTGCATTGAAAAATGGCCTATTTAGTGTCTTTTCATGTTGGCGTTGATTTATCCAAACCAACTATTAACATGTTTGCAAAATATTCCTAATTTATCAACCATGTGCAAATGTGGTCTCGACATGTCGGTGACATCTGCTTTGAAAAACGGCCTTTTTAGTGTCTTTTCATGTTGGCGTCGATATATCCAAACCAAATATTAATATGTTTGCAAATATTCCTAATTTATCAACCATGTGCAAATGTGGTCTGGACATGTCGGTGACATCTGCTTTGAAAAATTAATGTTTTAGTGTATTTTCATGTTGGCGTCGATTTATCCAAACCTTCTATTAATATGTTTGCAAAATATTCCTAATATATCTAACATGTGCAAATGTGGTCTCGACATGTCGGTGATATCTGCTTTGAAAAAATGGCCTATTTAGTGTCTTTTCATGTTGAGGTCGATTTATCCAAACAAACTATTTATACGTTTGCCAAATATTCCTAATTTATCAAACATGTGCAAATGTGGTCTCGACATGTCGGAGACATGTGCTTTGAAAAATTAATGTTTTAGTGTATTTTCATGTTGGCGTCGATTTATCCAAACCTTCTTTTAATATGTTTGCAAAATATTCTTAATTTTTCAACCATCAAACCAACTATTAATATGTTTGCAAAGTATTCCTAATATATCTAACCTAGTGCAAATGTGGTCACGACATGTCGGTGACATCTGCTTTGAAAAATGGCCTATTTAGTGTCTTTTCATGTTGGCGTCGATTTATCCAAACCAACTATTTACACGTTTGCCAAATATTGCTAATTTATCAAACATGTGCAAATGTGGTCTCGACATGTCGGTGACATCTGCATTGAAAAATGGCCTATTTAGTGTCTTTTTATGTTGGCGTCGATTTATCCAAACCAACTATTTATACGTTTGCCAAATATTGCTAATTTAACAAACATGTGCAAATGTGGTCTCGACATGTCGGTGACATCTGCATTGAAAAATGGCCTATTTAGTGTCTTTTTATGTTGGCGTCGATTTATCCAAACCAACTATTAATATGTTTGTAAAATATTCCTAATTTATCAACCTTGTGCAAATGTGGTCTCGACATGTCGGAGACATGTGCTTTGAAAAATCGCCTATTTATTGTTTTTTCATGTTGGCGTCGATTC